GGGGGAGAGGCCCCATTGTCACTGTTGTCTGGTTCACCACTGCGTCTGCAGAGCCCAGAACAGTGCCTGGCACACTGTAGGAGCCCCATGTACATGTGGTGAATAAATGAATGAATGAATGACCTGCGCAGGTCCATGTGTCTATGCTGTGATACAGGCGACCGGGAGTCAGACCCTCTGTTGTTATTTCTAAATGACTAACACAAGACATCAATTTCGGAAGAAGTAGGTGATCTTGCTTTCTTCCCTTGGGATTGAAGCTACATACTTGGAGGGGACCAAAAAAAAGAGCACTATTAATTTGAGGGAGGGGAAGAAGCATGCAAGGCGTATTAGGGTGTGTGCCCAACCACAAGGCCCCTTTGGTTCAGAGAAATTAGAGCATCCTTCCCACCACCTTCATGACACAGGTGGGAAACCAGGCTAGGGGAAAAAGCCAAATCCAGAAATACAATTTAGCCACTACTTTTGAGAAAACAGAAAAAAAAATTCCAACTAAAACAAAAATAGCATCTCTGCTCTCATGGAGCTTAAATTCTAGCGGCGGAGAGAGATGGTAAGCAATGGCCTATTAGTAACTTAATAATACTTTTTAAGGGCTGCGATGGAGAAGGGCAGGGAGGTAACTGTGTGATGGGGTGGGCTCATCTGAGGGGTCCAGGGGTGCAGGGAAGCCTCTTGAAAGAAGAGACACTCCAGCTGGGATGTGGAAGGCACGCTGGAGCTGGAAGGCAGGAAGGTGGGGTACAAGACGAGATGTGGGCAATCCTGAGTGACAGGGTGGGAAGGACCCTGAAGAATGAGGAAGGGCTTGCAGCTGCCTGGGAGGGCAGCGGTGACATTCATGACAGTGGGGGGCGTGAGTTGAGTGAGGCAGGGTTGGGAGACATGAAGCTCTGTTCAGGGGCCTCTCTGCCTGTGACCATCATTCTTGGGCCCCTTAGGTTTGAGGAAGCCTATTCCCCAAACCAAAGCAGTCATACAGACTGGCTCTGGAGAGGCGGCTGGGCAAGACAGAAGCCCATGGCCCCAGTCTTTCTCAAGCACCTCCTAGCAGTGTTCACAGGCAGACCAGCAGCAGAGATCAGGACAAGGCTGCTGTCTTCCCACCCCAGCCGATTGGTCCAGATGGCCCCAAGGAGACCACAGTTGAGCTAGCCGGGGGGTGCAGAGCCCAGAAGTCAGTATATAGAAAAGACCAGAGTTCTTAGGCTTACGACTTCTTTTATCTCATTAATCTAAGATGCAAATTCTCTCACATTTTAACATCTCTGAAATTAGCACCATCTCATAGCCAGTGTGTGTCAGAGTTAAGGACCATTTTTCCTGGTGGTACAAAGTTAGGGTGAGTCTTTTGATCAGGGTGTCACAGGTTTGATGAAACAGTGTTGGGAGACCTTGGGGTGTGGTTTCTTGCACATGGAACTAATTGGAAGCTGGAAGCAAACAGGCCGGAAACCTTCTAAATTTTCAACAGCAACTGTCTTTCCAGGGAAACCACTTGCTTTGACGATTTAATGGACCCAGGACTGCAGCCTGGACTTTTATGGAAAAGAAACATTGGTCACAACTGTTCTTGTTCCAACTGTTGCTATTCTGTGTCAGCTGAATTTATAAGCTGATCTCAGCTGTAAATTTTGTAACTTTGTTTGACAGATGGCTTCCTGATTCTCTTCTCCCTCTGGCCAAAGAATTTCTAACAAAACCACTGACTCTTACAGGCTCTTTGACTTAAGATTATGTGTGAAACAAAAAAACCCAGTTCAAAAATGGGCAAAAGACTTGAACACACATTTCTCCAAAGAAGATATAGGAATGGCATATAAGCACATGAAAAGATGCTCAACATCACTAATCATTAGGGAAAAGCAGATCAAAACCCCTATAAGAAGGGGGTCTGGCCCCATGGCGTAGAGGTTAAGTGCAGCCTCCGCTACTGGCGGCCTGGGTTCGGATCCCGGGCGCACACCGACGCACCGCTTGTGGGGCCACACTGAGGCGGCGTCCCACATACAGGAACTAGAAGGATGTGCAACTATGACATACAACTATCTACTGGGGCTTTGGGGAGAAAAAGGAGGAGGACTGGCAATAGATGTTAGCTCAGGGCCGGTCTTCCTCAGCAAAAAGAGGAGGATTGGCATGGATGTTAGCTCAGGGCTGACCTTCCTCACACACACACACAAAAAAAACCTATAAGATACCACTTCACACCTATTAGGATGGCTATTATCAAAAAAGCAGAAAATAAGTGTTGGTGAGGATGTGGAGAAACTGGAACTCTTTTACATTGCTGGTGGGAATGGAAAATGGTGCAGCTCCTATGGAATACAGTATGGTGGTTCCTCAAAAAATTAGACATACAATTGCCATCTGATCCAGCCATTCCACTTGTAGGTACAGTCTCAAAAGAATTAAAAGCAGGGACTCAGATATTTGTACACCCATGTTCACAGCAGCATTATGCACAACAACCAAAAGGTGGATGCAACCGAAGTGTCCATCGACAATGAATGGATAAACAAGATGTGGTGTACACACACAGTGAAAAGGAGGGTATACACATCCAGCCTTAAAAAGGAAGAAACTTCTGACACGTTAGAACATAAATGAACCTTGAGGACATTATGCTAAATGAAATAAGCCAGTTATAAAAGAGACACACACTGTATGATTCCACTCATATAAGGCACCAAGAGCAGTCAAATTCAGAGACAGAAAGAACTGTGGTTGCCAGGGGCTCTGAGGAGCGGAAGGGGAGTTGTTAACTGGTATGGAGTTCCAGTTTTGCAAGCTGAAAAAAATTCTAGGATTGATGGTGGTGACGGTCACACAACAGGGGGAATGTACTTAATGCCACTGAACTGTACACTTAAAAACGGTAAAAGGGTAAACTTTGTCACGTATAATTTACACAATTAAAATAAATTTTAAAAAATTAATCAAAAAAAATTACATGCGGAAGGGACTTGGTTTCTCCGGGTCCTGGAATCAAGTGGCAAAGCACAACCTGCTGCGGAATCTGCCCACAGACATGGTAGTTTGAATCAGAGGCCTTTGAACTTGAAAGCCTTTGGAGGCGCCGTGTGCTCGCCAGGCGGCTCTGAGCCCCACCTCTCCCGGTCACCTTAGCTGCCTGGCCACTGAAGGCATTTGAGGGTGGAATCCCAGGTAAAGTGAGGGAAGACTTTAGGCAAGAATTCGTAGTGCCTGTTATTTCGCTAACGGCCTCTGCGGCCCAGGGCCCGGGAGCTCTGCGGGCCTGCCCTGCATGCACACAGCTGGGGAAGAAAGGTAACAGGACATGGAGGACTGCAATGCTCACCAAATACCCCATGAGCCCCCTCCACACCCCGACCCCCTGCTGTCAGGCAGGATACTCATGTGACTAGTTCTAGCCAATGAATCATGAGCAGAGTGACCTGTGTGTCAATTCTGGGCTGAAGCAACTAGTGACGTCCCCCATGGTGGAGCCTCTGTTGGCCTGGGCCCCCGAGAGATGATGTCATAAGCAGAGGCTCCACGTGACCCATGATGGATAACATGAGCAAGTCAGCAAGAAACAAGTCTTTATGTCAAACCACTGAGATTTGGGGGTTAATTTGTTACTGCAGCATAACCTCGCTTATCCTGACTAATACACATGCTGTGAACAACGGGAAGAGAAAGATGTTCCTGGCTTCACGAGCTCTAGGTGGGAGCCACAGGAGACCACAGCCCTAGTTCTCCCCTCTAAGCTGAGAAACTTCAGAAAAGGCAGGCGCCTTCTCTGGGCTTTGGTTCCGCCTCTATTCTTTTTTTTGAAGCACCATCGTCCATTGAGACATTTTATTTGCACATATGCATTACATCCCTAGAAAAAGAATCCCAGGATTTTCCCTCCTGCGCATTTTTGTCTTGCGTCTTCAGGGTCCAAGATGCCAGCTGAGATTGTCAGTGCAGTGAAACCAAACTGACGGGACGGGAGCAAGTTATTCTGCATTTTTCTAGATCTTTCAGCTGCACATCAGATCTGGGGCTGATCACTCCACACTTGCTTAATCTGCTGCTGAGGGTCACGACAACCGCCCCAGCTCTGTGGTCATCAATGATTTCAAATTCGCCAAAGTAACCACACTTCACCATCACAGTTAGAAACCAGATGATGACTCTGGAGCACGGCCTAGTGAGAACCTGGCGTTTGCCTCTCTCTCTTCTGCACTGTGGATGCTCTTGAGAGCAACAGCCAGGACATTCATGCACACCATTGTGGCAGCACAGAAAAATCTAGTCCATTTTTCTACTACAGAAACAGGAATTTCATACTGTTTAACCCATGGAGGAAAGGACAGGTACTGCTTATTAATCCAGGAGGGGAGATCTGGGCTCTCTGCCAACCCTGCCTCCGACTCACAGCCTGGTCCTCAATTTCCCCATCGGTCCCCACTGAAGCTCAGGATCACCGTGGCTTCTAGGGCTGGGCTGGAGAGGGGCGTAGAGGAGCCCCTGGCCCAGGGACTTCAAGAGAGCCCCTCTATCAATGGACCCTGGTTTCAGGGACCAGAGGAAGGGGAAGCTCACTCACTCCCTGCTGTCACAGCTTTGCCCTCACCCACGGCGGACAGCCTGAGCCCGAGCCCCTCGCTGAAACGCTTTTTAACACTGGCCTTGGCCTCCGCCTGTCTCAGGACGCTCAGCCCCGCCCCGGGAGGCCACCTACCCAGAGCTGGCAGCTGTGCAAAGAGCCACACTCAGGCCGTTGGATCCACCCCGCCCAGGGCAGGTTGTCAGAGTGTCTTTCCCCAGGTGAGGGGAGGGCAGGCTGAGCCGGGGCATCTCCTCAGCACTGAGGGCATCCACAGGACAGACCCAGGACACGTGGGAACCTGGAGCTGCAGAGCGCGCCGAGCTTTATTTACAAACATGTCACAGAATCTCCTCAGGCCAGAGTCCCCCCACCGTCCCCAGCAAGGAGACAAGCCTGGGCTCACCCACCTGCCCAACCTAGGAAGGGAGGCCTGAGTTCACCTCCAGCTGAGGCAGGGCTGGGATCCCCTCTCGTGGGTGCCCCTGCCAGAGGGGAGAGGCTAGAGACGATGGCAGAGGCACTGTCCTCCTCCAGGTGGCCAGTCCTCAGGGCTTCAGCTCGGGGGTGCAGGGCCGGGGGACCTGGGATTCTGACCAGATCGGGGTGGGGGGCGGGACTCGTGTTGGCAGGGCCTGGATGGTGAATGAGGAGGTGTCAGAGGGGACCACTTTGGGAGCATGTCGCCCCCAGTTCCAGCCTCATCCCCTTCTGGACCTTAGAGTTACGGTCACCCTCCTGGGTGGGGTGGGGTAGCTAGCAGGGAGTGGTGGACCCTGGAAGAGTGCCTTGGGTCAGGGCTGGGGGGACGGGCCCCTGTGAAGAGATGCTTTGAGGCCCTGCACTCCCCACCCCCATCCCGCTCCCGGGGACTCTGCAGTCCCCAGGCCTGCTCCGGGGCAGCCTGGACCACACCAGGCAGGAAGGGCTGGCAGCTGACAGCTTCCGGTGCTGGGCCTTGGAGGAGACACAGGACCAGAGACCCAGGCTCTCAGGGGCTGAGCTTTTCTCAGCCTTCGGCGGGAGAATGTCCCAGCCCAGCAGGCAGTGCTGTGGAGAACAAGGGGTTCAGGCGCCTGGCCTGGGGCAGGCCTCTCTGCACTGGGCACACCCAGGCAGGGGCTGTGCCTCTCCTCGTGGACTGGCAGCATCTGCTAAGACGGGGCTGTGTCCCCCACGAGAGTGGCAGGGCCCCCCCAAACAGTCACAGTATCCCCCTCAAACTGAGGCTCCCCCAGGGCAGGAGCCTTGTGTCCACGCATAGGGTCACCCCTGGGCCTCCCTTTCCTAACCCTGCTGACCCAGGCCCCGGGGCCTGACCTGAGACGGGCAGAGGGAAGGCCGTGGACACTAACAGAGCACTTCCTGCATGCCGGGCTCTGCCCCACGCCCGACAGGTATTGATTCACTGAACTGCCCCACAAGCCTGAGGAAGGTATGTTGTACCCATTTTATAGACGAGCAAACCAACTTTCCTCTGCATCCCTTCTCCTCTCCCCAGCCCCAACAACCCCAGCCACAAGTGGGAGTGAGTGGGGTCCCCAGCGAGCCCCGTCCTCCCCAGGAGACACAAGGCTGTCTCTGTGGGAGGCACCACAGAAGCATAAGGGCGTGGGTTCATATCCCAGCTCCTCCAGCTGGCTGACCCTGGACAAGTCACCTCCCCTCCGCCTCAGTCTCTGCATCTGTAAAATGGGACAGCAGCAGCACCTGTGCCTTTGGTTGCTGGGGGGCTCCGTGAGATAATCCTCCCAAGGACTGCACACGAGGCACACACGACCTCAATAACCAGGGCCATTCGTGTTACGCCAACATGCAGGCAACACTTATCCCAGAAGCCTGGGGTGGGTGGGGTGCCCCACCTCCCTCGGGGAGCAAGCAGAGCACAGGTGACAGAAGGGGCCCAGCCTGAACTCCAGACTCGCCCTCCTTGAGCACAGCCCCACTGTGTGGCCCTGGGACCGTCCCTGACCCTCTCTGGGCCCCAGGATCCATCTGCAGACCTGGGCCAGCTGGGGGCAGCCCCGTGCCCGTCCCCAGCCTGGCCCCACGTGGCTGCTCACCCGGGGCAGGGCCAGCGTGTCGGAGGCGTCGAAGCTCTTCCGCCGGTGGATGCGGTACTGGTGTGGGGGGTCCAGGATGGACAGTGGGACGCTCACCCTGGTGGGGGTGACAGTGGGGACACTGCTGCTGGCGCTTCCCGCTGCTGTGGACCCAGCCCCAGGCGCAGCTTTCCCGCCCTCAGAACTGGCAGGCCCCAGCCTCTGCAGCCGCCCCCACGACCACCCCCGCCCCGGGTGTCCTGTCCGCTCCGGCCACTCACCTGACCTGCGCTGGCTCTGCCAGGGTCTCAGGGCCCCGCTGGCCCCGGGGCACCCTGCACAGGCGGCAGGGGCTGCCGGGATCCGAAGGCACCAGGAACAGGCGCCGGCTGACACGGTAACAGTAGACGCCTGCAAGACCCAGGAGCAGTCACTGTTCCCCCTCAGCCGCGCACCTAGAGCCCGGGGACCCCCGCCCCCACCGGACAGGCCGCCAACCCCCACACCCCCAATGGGCACGCTCACAGGCACGCACGCGTGTACACACACGTACACGCGCTCACCTACAACACTGAGCACACGCTTCTACACAAGCACGTGTGTGCAGACACATACTGGCATCTTCACACGTGCAAATGTCATGTGTGCAAACACAAAGCACAGCTTTACACAGTCACATTCGTGGACACACATGCACATGCCTGTATCTGTAATCACACACAGGGTGCACACACACGTACGTCACACAAATACCCTCACACGGCCACATGCATGTACACATATGGACACACAGCGTGCTGCACATGCAAACCCACAGCAGACTCAGGTGCTCACGTGACTGAGACGACACGTGCAGAGGAGGGGGTGGGAGTGGGGGGGCCACGTGGGAAAATGAGGCAGCTGGGAAGAAAATGAAGGCTGCTGGGGAGGGGTGAGGCCGTGACACAGGGCTGGCCCTAATCCCCAGGAGGCCAGGCCTCAGTGCACCCTACCCCCCACCCAAGGCTCCCCCTACCTTGTCCAGACCCCAGGCCTCCCTCCCTGAGTCCCCAACACCCCAGCTGCCTCCCCAGGCCCCCAGGCCCTCAGCTGGGCTGTGGGGCGCGGCCTGCGAGGGTTCACACTCACATTCGTGGTCTCCCTCGACACCACCGTTCTCATGCAGGCTCAGGACCTGGGGGCTGTGAGGGCGAGAGGGGTGAGCAGGCCAGGGCGACGGGGTCTTGAGCCGCCCTGCCCAGCTCTCGCCCACCCTGCTCACTCGGGCTCACTGCAAATACACTCCTCCTTGTTGGCTTCCCGGAACTTCTGCAGCTTCGAGAAGAAGGCCTCGGGCTTGCTGGTGACGGGAGAGCTGCTGTCCAGAGACCCTGGAGTGAGCAAAGCCCAGGGGAGCTGCTGTGCGGCCACTGGCCAAGGCTGAGGGGATGCTCGGTGCCAGCCCCAGTCCACCCGCTCTGCCCTCACCGTGCCTCCCAGACTGGAGGGCCTCCACTCCCTGCTGGTTGTGTCTCGGTGTCTGTCTACTCTGACGCATATCCAACTGTCCATGCAAATATATTTAGAGCCCCTGCTACGGGCCAGACACTATTCAGTGTGCTGGGAAGAGAGCAGTGACCTAGCCAAGGCCCCTGCCCTTGAGAGGCTTACATTCTAATGTGTGGTCACAGACAAACTAGTCACCAGAGACACCTGTGACACAACGGGGACTGGTAACACCTGCTGGGAAGTAAAAGAGAGCAGAGGCAGGGAACTGAGCTTGATAGGGCAAGAGTGCTGGGGAGAACTCTCTGAGGAGGTGACACCTGAGCAGAGACCTGATGAAGAGAGGGAGGGAGCCACGTGGACATCCCAGGCAGGTGGAAGAGTAAGCGCAAAGGCCCTGGGGCAGGTGTGCACTCAGTGTGTCTGAGGAACAGCCAGGAGGTGAAAGTGGCTAGAGGGGAGTGAGGAACTAGAGTGGAGGAGATGAAGCTAGGAAGCTGGTGGAGGGTTGGGGACAAGCAGTGATGCAGTCAGATCGGCCATGTATTTTTACAGGATTCCCCCTCTGGCTACTGCAAGATGAGGGAAGCAGAGGTACCAGTTAGGAGGCTACTGCAGGCATCCTGGTGGAGAGAAGTAGTCAGATTCTAGAAATACCTTAAAGGCAGGGCTAACAGGGTGTGCTAATGGACTGAAAGAGGAAGACGCAAAAAGAAGAGAAGGAATCTCAAGGTTGATCCCAAGGTCATGACCATTAACTCCTTAACGGAGCTGCCATTTACAGAGACCAGAAAGACCCGGGAGGAGCAGGTGGGGTAGAAATCAGGACCTTGATTCTGGACGTTGAGTTTAACCCAAGACACCTAGTGAGCGATGTAGAGAAGACGGCCGGATAAACAAATCTGGAATTTGGAGGCATGGCAGGGGCCAGAGATAAAAACAGGGGTAGAGAGAGCATTGACAGCCTCTGCCCTGGGGGGTCAGAGCGAGAGGGCAGACGGAGAAGAACCGGGAGACCGAGCCGGGGGCGTCTGGTGTCTGGAGGTCGGAACAAGGAAGCGGCCCCCGCAGAGGAGACGGGAAGGAGCGGCCGGCAGATGGGGAGGGGGGCCTGCCGGCCCTGCCAGTCACGGAAGGCAGAGCTGCGGGAGCAGGGAGGGCGGCCGTGCCCTCGCCGACTGAGAACTGAGCCCGGAGCTGGCAACGCGGCCGCCACCGAGCACCCGGTGAAGACGGTGTCGGGGCTGAAGCCCGATCTAGAAAAAGCGGGGGAGAGAAACTGGAGAGGGCGAGTCGAGACAACCCTTTTGAGGAGCTTTGCTATACGGGAAAGCGGGGAAAATGGGCAGTAACCAGTAACGAGAAGCAAACGTGGGATGAAGGGAGAACGCTTCCTCGGGAAGGGAAGAACAGACGGCGGCGTCACCGCGGACCGCACGCGAGGCTGGGCCGCTGCTCCGTCCCTTGCGCCTCAGCCTTCTCATCTGTCGACGGGACAATGTCGGCAGCTGCCTAACACGATGACTGGTCGACAGGACAATGACGGCAGCTGCCTAACACGATGACTGGAAGAGTAGAGGAGCTACGGGAGGGAAGCGCCCGGCACAGCGCCCGGCACACAACAGCACTCAGTCAAGTCGGTTGTCACCACCGCAGGGCGCTCACGTGCTGACGGCGCAGGAGTACGACGGAGGAAGGAGAGAAACCCTCGGGAGCCGGGCGGGCGGGCGGGGCGCGCAGACGTCCACCTGGGAAAGGAGGGAGCGGACAGGAGGCAGGAGCCTCCATTCTCCCAGAAAGAGTGAGCAGGTAGTCTGGGAAGTCCTCGGACGGGCCTGTCCCCCCCGACTGGTCCCACCGACCCCATGGAGCACCTGCCTTTGGGCAGTAACTCAACCTCCCTGTGCCTCAGTTTCCTCCTCTGTGACGTGAGGATCCGAGCAGCACCGACCTCTCAGGACCGCTCACTCCTTCATTCGACAAGTGTCGGCTGGGGGCCCACTATGGGAGGAACCGTGCCAGGCTCAGGCTCAGGGAACACAGCGCGAAAAGACAGCTAGGCCCCGGGCTAGGGAGCTTATGTTCTACCGGAGGAGCCAGACAGGAAACAAGCAGAGAAGACGATTGCTGAGAATAAATGACACGAAGAACAGTCCAATGGCTGATGCCGTAGGCAATGATCAGGGGGTGTGGCCCCAGGACATTATGCTCACGGAAGGCCTGTCAGTCCAGCTGAGTCCTCGATGATGAAAAAGAACCAGCAGGTGTGAACTGGGGAAATGCCTTCCAAGCAGAGGGAAGAACAAGTGCAAAGGGCCTGAGGTGGCCATGAGCATGGGAGCTTCCAGGACCAGCAAGAGGCCAGCAGATTGGAGCCAAGAGCCGGGGGGAGGCTGTCAGAGGTCATGTCACGGGGCCAGCAGAGGCCAGGTCACACCTCAGAAGTCTGGATGAGGATTTTGGATTTGACTCTAAGTGCTAAGCACTCTGAGTGACACGATCTACTCTCATGTTTAAAACTCATCCTGATTGCTACGTCAAAAATAGACAGTAATTGAGGCAAAAGAGGCCAGAGGGAGACCAGCCAGGAGGCCACTGAGGTTGCTGAGGGGAGGCAGGTATGGGCAGTAAAATGTAAAGAGATGATACCCATACAGAGCTCTGCAGGAACCTGGCGTACGATAAATGCTCACAATATGACAGTTCTCTCATTCATTCAACAAATGCTCAGGCCGGCCCTGTGGCTTGGCGGTTAAGTGCGTGTGTTCCGCTGCTGGCGGCCCGGGTTGGGATCCCGCGCGCACACCGACGCACCGCTTCTCCGGCCATGCTGAGGCTGTGTCCCACATACAGCAACTAGAAGGATGTGCAGCTATGACATACAACTATCTACTGGGGCTTTGGGGGGAAAAAAACAAAAAAAACCCCAAATGCTCAGCAAGCACCATCTCTGTGCCTGTCACTGTGCCAGGGGCCAACAGAGGAAGTGGAATAGTCAGAGAAACAGAGAGCACCCAGTGGGGGCGCCGGCAGGTGCATAAGCAAGCTGGGGCCCCCACCCCCCACTCCCAGGCAAGGCGCGTGCAGGGGGCGGGCCACACCTGCAATCCAGTCGTAGCCCAGGTACGGTCGGAAGCGCCAGACCCCCTCAGGCACTGGAGACTCCTTCTTGAAGGTCACTCTCGGCTGAGGAGGGAGGTAAAGAGGAGTAAGGGCTAGGCCAGCAGGCCCAGCCCAAAGGAGGCCCCACCTTGGGGGAAAGAAGGGGGCTATGTCTTAACTTACACCCTGACATGGGCCCCAGGGCTCAGCCGAGGGCATAGGAGCTGGAACACAAGAGTTTGGCCCCTGTCCCCTCTATGTATGACTTTGAACAAGTCTGGCCTCTGAGCCTCGGTCTTCCCATCTGTGTAATGGGGCTCATCACCTTCTTCCCAAAGTACTGTTTGAGAAACTAATGGCCACCACTCATCAGGCACTCAGGCTGAGCGGGACATGACTCAGGGTACCTCCTGGAAGCCTCTCACCCTGCAAGGGAGGCTGCCCATGAGTACATTTGTCAGATAGGGAAACTGAGGCTCAAGGAAACTCCCAAGAACGGATGCCTTACTCTCCCATGTTACCTTGGGCAGCTTGCTTTGTTGATCCGGGACGGACCTCAGGGCCTGCACCTCCTGAGGCAGACCGTCCAGCTCTGCTGAAAGCTCCGGGTCATTTGAGTCTGAAGTAGACAGCAAGGGCGCCGAGTGGGGCCTCAGTGGGCCCAGGGCCTCCTGGTGGTGGCACTTGGCAGGTGGGAGAGAGATCACCCCAGAGCTGGCCCCTCCAGGCCCGGATCTATCACAGGGGTCACCTTGGTGGGCATCCTCTGGACAGGAGGTTCTCGGGGCCGCTGAGGACATCTCTTGGGACGATGGCGTCTCTGAGTCATAGCTGCTGCTGGAGTCCAGGTTTGACTGGAACAGAGAGGCCAGGTCACCCAGGGAGCAGCCCAGCCACCCACCCAGCTGGCCTGCACGAGGCATGAAGGCCTGGTTCCTCATCCCTGCTCCAGCCTCTGCTGGACCTTCCCTCGCTGGGCCTCGGTCTTCTCATCATCAGTAAAATGGGCACGCTGCACGAGATGACGCTGGAGGCCTGGATTCTGGCCTGAGGGACAGGCGGCCCCTTCCTCCCCCTGCTGGAGTTCCCAAGGTGGGCGCTCACCGCTGAGGCCGCCTTGGCCACTGACCGCCGCACGGCCTCCTGCCCAGCCCACAGCTGCCCCAGGAGCTCCAGGCTGAGCTGACGCAGCTGCACCAGGTCCCTGGTCTCCACCATCCTGGGCGTAGCCTCTGGCTTCCCACCGTGGTGTTGCTGACTCCTGGGCCGCAGAGCGCCCTCTGGGGTGGTTCCAGGCCCAGCTCTGCTAACTGAAACTGAGACAGTGTGACATCAGGCTGAGGAGGCTGCCCTGTGGAGCCAGAGGCCTGGGTTCAAATCCCCATTCTGATACTCCCTAAGTGTGCAGCCTTCAGCAAGTTATTTAACATCTCTGTGCCTCAGTTTCCTCATCTGTCGGAGATGATAACAGTATCTACCTCATAAGGTTGTTGTAAGAATTAAACAAGGTAATGCAGGTTAAATCTGAGTACAGTGGCTGGCACACAGTAAGCATTCAATAAATGTCTATTATTCAACTGGCCCAGGGTGTGTTTCCTAACGTGCCAAAAGAGAGCACTCTCCCTTTGACAACCTTAACAATGGAATTAGACTAATTTAATTTGTAGAAAACAATTAGGGCAAGTCTACAAATGTAAAGCATTACAACTTGTGAATCCAACACAAACCAGGCTTCTGAAGGGACTCTTCCCTCTCTCCTGTCCTCCCTTCTTCTTCCCTTTTTTTTTTTTTTACAAATGAAGAAACCAAAGTTCAGAGAAGTTAAGCAACTTGCTCCAAGCCACACAGCTAGTAAGTGGCAAAGCCAGGATCTGAATCAGAATCTGGCTCCAGGGGCCAAGGTCCCACCAGCCCTTCCCCAGCAGCGTGGAGAGGGTCCTGGGAAGCTGCCTCCTCCTTTTCTTAGCCTTCGGCCACCCAGGGATCCAGGCTCAGCACACACAGATGCCCCTGGCAGGGATTTCTGCAGGCTAGGGGAAGGGGCTTCCCACCTCCCTCAGAGCCCCAGGCCTAGACTCCTCCAACCAGAAACGCAGTCTCCCTGGACACACACTACCCCTTTTTAACACCTGGTCCAATCAGACAACCTACTCTCAGAAACCCAGCCCTGCCCTGCCCCCAGCCCTGCCACCCATACTCCCCACCTGTGGACCGCCCACACCGGGGGCCCCGCCTTAGAGCCCGGCTGCAGGGGCTAAAACAGAGAAGTCAGACTACACCGGACCCCCTCACGTACGCCCCTCAGGGAAGGCGGACAGTGAAGACGCGAGTACAGACGACTCCGTGGGGGTGCACACAAGGGGGGCAAACAGCCTGATCTGCAGACCCGGGAGACCCGGCCTCCGCCCTTATCTGATCCAGCGACTCGGCCCTACGTACAGTCCGAGGGTCTCCGTTTTCGGACGGGGTTAAAGAGAACAGCCTGCACTCCCTCCTCCAGCTCCCGCTTAGAAAGCTAAAAGCTGCGCAAATGCAACGGGCAGGCGACGTTCAAAAGAGGGGGCAGCAAGAGCACAGAGGCAGCGCCGGAGGACGCAGGGCCGGACCCCGGGAAGGGGAGACTCGGCCTCCTCCTCCTTTCCCACCGCGGGCCCCGAACCCTCCGCGGGGGTGCACGCGGGGCCTCCCGCCGAGCCCTTCCTGCCATCCCCGGCCCCGCCGCTGCCGCACTCACCGCCCGGAAGCCCCCGAACCGCGCAGCCCGTCACCGCCCTCGCTGCCCGGAGTTCCGCCCGGGCCAGCCCGCGCGTCGCCGGCCGGGGGCGGGGCCCGATCCGGCCGTCCTGATTGGTCAGATGCGGGGCGGGACCGGGACGCTCTTGCGGGCGTTACTCCGCATTCAGAAGCGGCAGTTTCAACATTGGGGCGGGCCTAACAGCGGGGCTCAACAGCTGATTGGTCAACTCCGGAGGCCGTGCGGAAGGTCGATTTCCGGAATGGGGCGGGCCCCTGGAGGGCAGGTTCCGATTGGTCAGGACGGGTCCACGGGCTACGCCGCTTTCGGCGGCGGCAGTTTCAGAGTCTGCGTCTGAGGCTGCTTCCAAGCAGTGGGACGCAGCTGTGTGATGCGTGGGGACCCGAGTCGGAGGCGGGTAGGACCCATTCTTTCATACTTTCTTTCAAGTAGTTATTGTGCCTACTTTGTGTCAAGAGGCACTGTACTAGGCACTGGGAGGCAGGAAAGAATTAAGGGGGGTCCCTGCCCGGAGGAGCGGGAGAGGAGGCAGTGGGGAAGATAGGAACACGGATGCCTTTAATCCAGTCTGTAAAATATGAGCAGTTTATAAGGAGTGCCTTCTATGCGCCAGGTATTTTCCGTATGCCAGTGCATGCCAGCCTCGTAAATGTGCTTTAAGATGAGTATTATTGTCCCATTTTACAGGCCAAACAAAAAACGAGGCCATCAGAGGTGAAGCGACTTGCCCAGAACATTTTAAAATCAATGTAATTCCCAAATTAACAGATAAAAAGAAAGAAAGAAAAGCTATCTCAATAGATGCAGAAAAATCCATCAAGCATTGTCCCTTTTTCTTAGTGGTTGGAAGTGGAAGTCCCACAATCTGTCTTTTACCTTAGATGTTCCAGCATTTGACAAATTCCAATGTTCCTTTCTGACTTTTAAAAATCTTTCAGCAAACTAGGACTGGAAGGGAACTTCCTCATCCTGAATAAAAGGCTACACCTACAGTTAACAGCATATTTCATGACAAAAAACAATGCTTTCCCCGTAAGATCGGGAAAAGGTAAGGATGTCTGCTCCCAGCACTTCAACATTATACTAGAGTTCTAGCCAGTGCAGTAAGGAAAGAAAAATACAGGCATCTAGACTGGAAAAGAAGTAAAACTGTCTTTATTAACAGACAGCATGATAATAGAAAATTTCATGGAATCTACAAAAATCTACTAGAATTGTTAACGAATTTTGCAAAGTTGCAGGATACAAGATCAATATACAAATCATCTGTATTTCTATATATTAGCAATAAGCCATCAGAAATTGAACTTTTAAAAAAATGCCATTTAGGGCCAGCCCTGTGGCTTAGCGGTTAAGTGCGTGCGCTCTGCTGCTGGTGAGCCAGGTTCGGATCCCGGGCGCGCACTGACGCACCACTTGTCTGGCCATGCTGAGGCCACGTCCCACATACAGCAACTAGAAGGATGTGCAGCTATGACATACAACTATCTACTGGGGCTTTGGGGGAAAAAAATAAAAATAAATAAATAAATAAATAAAAATAAAATAAAAAATGCCATTTAAAACAGCATCAAGAAATATGAAAATGAAATACTTAGGGGCAAATCTGACAAAAAATGTACAAGACCTGCACATTAAAAATTATAAAATGTTGTTGAGAGAAATTAAAGACTAAATAATTGGAGAGATACACTGTGTTCATAAATTGAAAGACTCAAAATATTTAAGATATCGATTCTCCCCTAGAATGATCTGTAGACTCAATGCAATCCCAATAAAAATTCCAGTAAGTTTCTTTGTAGAAACTGACAATTTCTAAAATTCATATGGAAATGCAAAGGACCTCGGTAGCCAAAACTATTTTGAAAACAAAGAACAAAATCAGACGACCTACACTACCTGCTTCAGGACTTATTATAAAGCTACAATAATCAAGAGAGTGTAGTATTGACATCAAGGTAGTCAAATAGATCAATGGAACAGAATATAAAGTCCAGAAATAGTCTCATGTACATATGACCAATTAATTTTTGACAAAGATGCAAAAGCAATTCAGTGGAGAAAGGATAGTCTTTTCAGCAAATGGTGCGGGAACAATTAGATATCCATAAGCCAAAAACGCACACAGCACAAAACAAAACAAATTTTTAAAAACCCTCTCTCTATATGTTTGTACTATATGTAAAAATTAATTCAAAATGGATCAGAGACCTAATTGTAAAACCTAAAACTATAAAACTTCTAGAAGAAAACCAAGGAGAAAATCTTTATGACTTTGGATCAAGCAGAAATTTCTTAGATATGACACCAAAAACATGATCTATAAAAGAAAAAATTGATATATTGGACTTTATGAAAAGTAATAACTTATGCTCTTTGAAAGACATTGTTAATGGAAGAACAAGCCACAAGATTGAGAAAATATTTGCAGGTCACATACCTAATAAAGAATTTGTATCCATATTGTATAAAGAACTCTCAAAACAAACAACTCAATTTTAAAAATGAGTAAAAGAATTGAATGGGCTTTTCACTGAAGAAGAGACACAGATGGCAAATCACACATGAAAAGATGCTCAACATTATAAAACTTTCCTATTGAGGCTTGTCAGAGACTCCACACAGCATCCTTATCCATCATGAACCTCTAGCACCAGCTTCCATCCCAGTCTGGCTTTCCACAGAGTACCCTCTTGCTCCCAGCTCCATTCACCAGGCAAATGGAAAGTAAAACTAGGATCAGATGCCACTACATAATTATCTATATGTCTCAAATGATGGTATGGAAAATTAAAGACTCATTACACCAAGTGTTGGCGAGGATGAGGAAAAACTGGAACCCACATGCACTGCTGGTGGGAATGTAAAATGGTACAACCTCTTCGGAAAACAGTTTGGCAGTATCTTAAAAAGTTAAATATAAAAGGGGTGGGGTGAGGGGAGGGCAAAAGGGGTAAAGGGGCACATACATATGGAAACTAGATTTTTGGTGGTGAACACAATGCGGTCTATTCAGAAGCTGAAATATAATGATGTACACCTGAAATTTACATAATGTTATAAAGCAATGTGACCTCAATAAAAAAACTTAAATATAAATTTACCATAAGATCTAGCAACTCCAGTCTACCCAAGAGAAATGAAGACATATGTCCACACAAGGACTTATACAACAATGTTCCTGATAACATTACTCATAATAGCCACAAAAAAATGGAAACAATCCAAACGTCCATCAACTTACAAATGGATAAACTAAATGTGGTATCTATACAGTGGAAACTATTTGGCAGTAAAAAGGAATGAAGTACTGATACATGCCACAACACAGAGGAGTCTCATAAACATGATGCTAAGTGAAAGAAGCCAGACATAGACCATATTGTATGATTCCAATTACATGAAATGCCCGGAAAAGGCAAATCTAGAGAGACAGAAAATAGGTTAGTGGTTCCGTGGGTCTG